CTCCTGCAGATAAGCCACACCCCCACCATTAAGCAGCTGACCTTGCTGCTGTTGGGAAGGCCAGAAAATGGCTGTCTGACCGCCCAGCAACAGCCTCCAGTGACAGGTAGGCTTGGTATGCTTGTCTGTCTGTCTGCTAGTGAGGAAGCGTGTGTGTGTGTATGGACTTAGCTGTCTCTGTGTGTGTCTGGATTCAGCAGTCTGTGTGTGTCTGTGTGTGTATGGATTCAGCAGTCTGTGTGTGTCTGTGTGTGTATGGATTCAGCAGTCTGTGTGTGTATGGATTCAGCAGTCTGTGTGTGTATGGATTCAGCAGTCTGTGTGTGTATGGATTCAGCAGTCTGTGTGTGTGTGTATGGATTCAGCAGTCTGTGTGTCTGTATGTGTATGGATTCAGAAGTCTGTGTGTGTGTGTGTGTATGGATTCAGCAGTCTGTGTGTGTGTGTGTGTGTGTATGTGTGTGTGTGTATGGATTCAGCAGTCTGTGTGTGTGTATGGATTCAGCAGTGTGTGTGTGTGTGTGTGTATGGATTCAGCAGTCTGTGTCTGTGTGTGTATGGAATCAGCAGTCTGTGTGTCTATGGACTCAGCAGTCTCTGTGTGTGTGTATGGACTTAGCTGTCTGTGTGTGTATGGATTCAGCAGTCTGTGTCTGTGTGTGTATGGATTCAGCAGTCTGTGTGTCTGTGTGTGTATGGACTCAGCAGTCTGTGTGTGTGTGTGTGTGTGTGTGTGTGTGTGTGTGTATGGACTCAGCAGTCTGTGTGTGTGTATGGACTCAGCAGTCTGTGTGTGTGTGCATGGATCAGCGTCTGTGTGTGTGTGTGTATGGATTCAGCAATCTCTCTGTGTGTGTATGGAATCAGCAGGTCTGTGTGTCTATGGACTCAGCAGTCTGTGTGTGTCTATGTAACTCAGCAGTCTGTGTGTGTGTGTGTGTATGGATTCAGCAGTCTGTGTGTGTGTGTGTGTGTGTGTGTATGGATTCAGCAGTCTGTGTGTGTGTGTGTGTGTGTGTGTATGACAGCAGCCTGGTGTGTGTGTGTGTGTGTATGATTCAGTAGTCTGTGTATGGACTCAGCAGTCTGTGTGTGTGTGTGTATATGGATTCAGCAGTCTGTGTGTGTATGGATTCAGCAGTGTGTGTGTATGGATTCAGCAGTCTGTATGTGTGTATGGATTCAGCACTGTGTGTGTATGGATTCAGAAGTCTGTATGTGTGTATGGATTCAGCCGTCTGTGTGTGTGTGTATGGACTCAGCAGTCTGTGTGTGTGTATGGACTCAGCAGTTTGTCTGTGTGTGTATGGACTCAGCAGTGTGCTGTGTGTATATTCTCAGTGTGTGTGTGTGTGTGTGTGCACATGGATTCAGCAGTGTGTGTGTGTGCGTATGGATTCAGCAGTCTGTGTGTCTGTGTGTGTATGGAATAAGCAGTGTGTGTCTATGGAATCAGCAGTCTATGTGTCTGTGTGTGTATGGAATCAGCAGTCTGTTTGTGTGTGTGTATGGATTCAGCAGTCTGTGTGTCTGTGTGTGTATGAATTCAGCAGTCTGTGTGTCTGTGTGTATGAATTCAGCAGTCTGTGTGTGTATGGAATCAGCAGTCTATGTGTCCATGGACTCAGCAGTGTGTGTGTCTATGGACTCAGCAGTCTGTGTGTGTATGGACTCAGCAGTCTGTGTGTGTATGGACTCAGCAGTCTGTGTGTCTATGGACTCAGCAGTCTGTGTGTGTATGGACTCAGCAGTCTGTGTGTCTATGGACTCAGCAGTCTGTGTGTGTATGGAATCAGCAGTCTGTGTGTCTATGGACTCAGCAGTCTGTGTGTCTGTGTGTTTATGGAATCAGCAGTCTGTGTGTCTATGGACTCAGCAGTCTGTGTGTCTGTGTGTGTATGGAATCAGCAGTCTGTGTGTCTATGGACTCAGCAGTCTGTGTGTCTATGGACTCAGCAGTCTGTGTGTCTATGGACTCAGCAGTCTGTGTGTCTGTGTATGTGTGTATATATATGGACTGTGTATATGGATACAGTATCTACTATGGCACTGTATCAAGGGAAATGTGTTTGTTTTTTAATAATCCCTGGTGGAAAATAAGGAATCTTCCACCAGGGATTATTAAAAAAAAACAAAAAACACATGCGGCATGGGTGGGGTCAAACTGCGGTGAGGGCAGGGTTAAATGTGCCCCTCTACTTTTGTCCCTGGCCCACCATGTGCCACCCCCTAAAAATGAATCCTAGAGACGCCACTGTGGACAGTCTGTGGTGCAACGAGACGTTGGTGGATGGAGCGAGACATGATGTCCCAGATGTGCTCAATTGGATTGGGGAACGGGCGGGCCAGTCCATAACATCAATGCCTTCATCTTTCAGGAACTGCTGACACACTCCAGCCTCATAAGGTCTAGCATTGTCTTGCATTAGGAGGAACCCAGGGCCAACCACACCAGCATTTGGTCTCACAAGGGGTCTGAGGATCTCATCTCGTTACCTAATGGCAGTCAGGCTACCTCTGGCAAGCACATGAAGGGCTGTGCGGCCCCCCAAAGAAATGCCACCCCACACCATTACTGACCCACTGCCAAACCAGTCATGCTGGAGGATGTTGCAGGCAGCAGAACATTCTCCACAGCGTCTCCAGACTCTGTCACGTCTGTCACATGTGCTCAGTGTGAACCTGCTTTCATCTGTGAAGAGCACAGGGCACCAGTGGCGAATTTGCCAATCTTGGTGTTCTCTGCCAAATGTCCAGCACGGTGTTGGGCTGTAAGCACGACCCCCACCTGTGGACGTCGGGTCCTCATACCACCCTCATGGAGTCAATTTCTGACCATTTGAGCAGACACATGCACATTTGTGGCCTGCTGGAAGTCATTTTGCAGGGCTCTGGCAGTGCTCCTCCTGTTCCTCCTTGCACAAAGGCGGAGGTAACGGTCCTGCTGCTGGGTTATTGCCCTCCTACGGCCTCCTCCACGTCTCCTGATGTACTGGCCTGTCTCCTGGTAGTGCCTCCATGCTCTGGACACTACGCTGACAGACACAGCAAACCTTCTTGCCACAGCTCGCATTGATGTGCCATCCTGGATGAGCTGCACTACCTGAGCCACTTGTGTGGGTTGTAGACTCGTCTCATGCTACCACTAGAGTGAAAGCACCGCCAGCATTCAAAAGTGACCAAAACATCAGCCAGGAAGCATAGGAACTGAGAAGTGGTCTGTGGTCACCACCTGCAGAACCACTCCTTTATTGGGGGTGTCTTGCTAATTGCCTATAATTTCCACCTGTTGTCTATCCCATTTGCACAACAGCATGTGAAATTGATTGTCACTCAGTTTTGCTTCCTAAGTGGACAGTTTGATTACACACAGTGTGATTGACTTGGAGTTACATTGTGTTGTTTAAGTGTTCCCTTTATTTTTTTGAGCAGTGTATATTTTAATTTTTTTTTTACTTTTCAGTTCAGGCATTCCTCCTCCTGGCAGCACTGTGTGGACACCTATGGGGGCCATGTGACCGCTCTTTTTATCTGATGTCACAAATTCCCTTGTGCGATCCAATGAAATACTTCACATACAGCTCAGAGTGCTCTTTAATACACTAACAATTCACCTGGCTTCCTTTAGCTACAGGTAACACAATCTGTAATGAGAGAGAGGGGTAATCTTTCTAAACTCCTACATAATTATTAGCCCTTAATAGGGAAGACATGGCTGTGTGATTCAAAAGTGAATACAAATACACAAAAACAAGACTCCTGGGCAGCAGCAATGACCATAGTACACAAAAGCAATGGTCATTGCTGCCACCCAGTAGTAGTGGGAGTGTGAGTACTGGCCTTATTTTTGTGCTCTGTAATACAGACTGAGTGATAATGTCTGTGGGCGGGAAGGATTACTGTAGGACAGTAGTGGCTCATGCACTGAGCTGGGGAAACTGAAACATGTTTGCCACTATTTCAGGGTGCGAACAATCTATTATCAGTCAGGATCCTGAAATAAATGACCCAACCACAGGGTGTAGCAATTTCCCTGGATGTATAGGGAACAGTCACTGAAATAAAATCAGCAGACATTCTCCAAACACAATGCATACTAAAAATCAGATTTATTGAATTTACTGAAACAGTACACATTTTAAACCTGAATTTACTGTTCTGATTAAGAAATAAAATCTGTAGACTAAAAAAGCATGATTACGAGTTTCATAGTATATTATACATGCCTTTTGGAAACCACAATAAAATAGGTTAGGGAAAAGATTGGGGTCTTGTCACATAAACAGGGTGTGATGGTGAATGGGCAGATTGAAATTCAGGGTTATATTCACTAAACAGTGAGTTGTGGTCTGCAGAGGATGCAGCTGATCTGTAAGAAATCTAGACATGGTGAACTTTCCCAGTTTGTAAACTCACTGTTTCGTAAATAAATGTGCAGAATTAAGAATAAAGGGGGAGAGTATGGCTTTCTCCTTCTGCAAAATCGCAGTCACTGTGCGGCCTTGTATGCTAATGAATGTCTTAAATGGAGAATGATTAGCACGCTGAGGCGCACAGTGATTTCACGATGGAATGGAAGACACTATTTTATCATATATATATATATATATATATATATATATATATATATCTCTATCTATCTATCTCATCTATTGAAGGTTTCTAAATGTATTGTCTGTCGAGCGCAGTGTTTCCCAAACCAGTCATTATAGCCGACCAAGAGTCCAGAATTGATGTATTTCCTTTTTTTATTCCAATGGAGATACAGACAAAATCTGGACTGTTGGTCAGATATATTATCTGATAATATTATAAACTCTTGTCATATAATATTGTACACTATCCAGTGAATAGAACCCACGAGCCAGAAATAGGTTGTTCTGCCATTGATTCAGTGTCAGTATATATCCTCTGGCATTGCTCAACTTTGCTCCAGGGCAATTCTTGGTTTACAGAGGTGATGGTGCCGATGGACTCTCCTCTTACACAGTGACGGACTGTCATTCCCTCTGGGCAGGCACACAGCAGCTCAGACCCCGGAAGCAGCTCTTTAGGTTTTCTCGAACATGTTTGGACAGTTGAGTCCAAACGCGGGGCTTTTCCTGCGAGGTTTCGGAGGCAAGGTGTTGGCAGTTGGTGTATGTGGCTGTCGATGCCGATGTTCGTTTGTGTTTTGCCACATCGTTTTCTGCGCTCAGTTTGGGAATAGTCTGTTTCTTCCCAGGGCCTGTAAGGCAGCCTCTGAGCAGTCCTCTCAGGAGCAGTGCTTTGCTTTGCTGAGTTGAGGGATAGTTGTGCGTTGCTGTTTGCCCGGGGTCTTCACTCAAACAGATACAAGTTCCCGTCTGGCAGTTTATGAGGTAGGTATGGTGAGCATAGGACATGACTTCTTCACGTCTTCTAATCATGCAGTCACACAGATTGGTTTCTGGAGGAATAATAATAATAAATGTTAAGATCTTAAGTTATACTTTGCATCAGACAGCTACTATGCGGGTAGCCCTGTGAGTGGAGTCACCAAGGTACCGCACGTTCTAGGTTAGGGGGATACCAACTGAGTGGATGCACCAAGGAACCGAACATATTAGATCAGGGCAGGGGAGGCACCAAGAAACCCTCTATTTTAGATTTGGGGGGGAAGGGGGATCAGGACACCCCTATGTGCAAGATAAGGGTAGATCTTGTGAGTGGAGGTACTGGACCAGAACCCTTTACTACTACATGTTAATATAGTAACAGTTATATATATTTATTTGGTTAAGTGTTATAATATGGCAATCTCATCCAGAGGACTTTACACAACAAAGCAATTACTCATTGATTTAATTACAAGCAAAGCAATATTAATTAGACACACTGAAACGGGAGTCTGTGGTAGACTGAGGGGGATGACCTGAGTGAATACACTTAACAAGGAAATCCTTTTATGTTAATGAGAAAAGAGACCCTAAATCCCACTGTATTATAATCGGGAACCACAAAGGAAACTCTCTGTGAAATTCCCAAAATTACCACTAGGTGGTGCCAAGACATTATGAACCACAGATAAACAGTGCTCCATTACATACATGATACAGTATCCACCCAGACATTACTACACAATCATGATATACACCCAGACATTACTGCAATACAATCATGATATACACCCAGACATTACTGCAATGCAATCATGATATACACCCAGACATTACTGCAATGCAATCATGATATACACCCAGACATTACTGCAATGCAATCATGATATACACCCAGACATTACTGCAATGCAATCATGATATACACCCAGACATTACTGCAATGCAATCATGATATACACCCAGACATTACTGCAATACAATCATGATATACACCCAGACATTACTGCAATACAATCATGATATACACCCAGACATTACTACACAATCATGATATACACCCAGACATTACTGCAATGCAATCATGATATCCACCCAGACATTACTGCAATGCAATCATGATATCCACCCAGACATTACTGCAATGCAATCATGATATCCACCCAGACATTACTGCAATGCAATCATGATATACACCCAGACATTACTGCAATGCAATCATGATATACACCCAGACATTACTGCAATGCAATCATGATATACACCCAGACATTACTGCAATGCAATCATGATATACACCCAGACATTACTGCAATGCAATCATGATATACACCCAGACATTACTGCAATGCAATCATGATATACACCCAGACATTACTGCAATGCAATCATGATATACACCCAGACATTACTGCAATACAATCATGATATACACCCAGACATTACTGCAATACAATCATGATATACACCCAGACATTACTGCAATACAATCATGATATACACCCAGACATTACTACACAATCATGATATACACCCAGACATTATTGCAATACAATCATGATATACACCCAGACATTACTGCAACACAATCATGATATACACCCAGACATTACTGCAATACAATCATGATAAACACCCAGACATTACTGCAATACAATCATGATATACACCCAGACATTACTACGCAATCATGATATACACCCAGACATTACTGCAATACAATCATGATATACACCCAGACATTACTGCAATACAATCATGATATACACCCAGACATTACTGCAATGCAATCATGATATACACCCAGACATTACTGCAATACAATCATGATATACACCCAGACATTACTGCAATGCAATCATGATATACACCCAGACATTACTGCAATACAATCATGATATACACCCAGACATTACTGCAATACAATCATGATATACACCCAGACATTACTGCAATACAATCATGATATACACCCAGACATTACTACACAATCATGATATACACCCAGACATTACTGCAATACAATCATGATATACACCCAGACATTACTACACAATCATGATATACACCCAGACATTACTGCAATGCAATCATGATATCCACCCAGACATTACTGCAATGCAATCATGATATACACCCAGACATTACTGCAATGCAATCATGATATACACCCAGACATTACTGCAATGCAATCATGATATACACCCAGACATTACTGCAATGCAATCATGATATACACCCAGACATTACTACACAATCATGATATACACCCAGACATTACTACACAATCATGATATACACCCAGACATTACTACACAATCATGATATACACCCAGACATTACTGCAATGCAATCATGATATCCACCCAGACATTACTGCAATGCAATCATGATATACACCCAGACATTACTGCAATGCAATCATGATATACACCCAGACATTACTGCAATGCAATCATGATATACACCCAGACATTACTACACAATCATGATATACACCCAGACATTACTACGCAATCATGATATCCACCCAGACATTACTACACAATCATGATATACACCCACAGAGATAAGGGACATGTTTAGTTTGAAAAAGGAATGTAAGTTTTTGCGTCTAGTTTAGTAATAATACACATTCTACTGTTTACAGCAAACAGACTGTAATAAGATCTGAATAGTTATGAGCTGAGAGAGAGATAAGAATTCTCAACAAATATCTTACACTGCAAAGCACTCGCACAGTCTACAGACTGAGAAAAAATCTTCGACTGTTTGAAAGGCTGTTTAATATGTCACAATAATTTCCATGTAATCTGATCCAGGGGGACTGATTGTGACATCATGTGACTTCATCCGCTGTTATGGATAATTAACTAAACCTCGAATTGATACATTGAAATGGGCAAAGGTGACAATCCGCTCCATACCTCGGGGCTAGTTACCAATTTAAGGCCAGAGTAGCCAAACTGGGAATACAACTGAGTTAGATATTTTATACCAGTTTGACTATTTTGATGTTAAAGTTGAAATTCACTTTGAATTCTCACCTTAGTAAAAAAAAAAAAAAAACACTGCCTGTGTTTAACCATTTCAGTTTTACGAAGGATTGTAGCAATACCATTAGCAGCCAAATAATTCCTAAAACTGTGATAAATCACCCCTGGCAGACCAGATAATGTGGTGTACAGCCTTTGGCTGGCTGCAGGTAATGAGAGTTAGGCCCTGCACAGTCATGCCCAGCTGTATTTTTACAACATGAAATATTTAGGTTTAACGAGACAGCACAATGCTAGGCATTATTTTACAGCACAAACCCTTAATTAGAGAAGAACCGTTTGCTAAAACAATGAATATTAAATCACTATTGGAGTTATTCTGTATACCGGGAATGGCAAAGAATTCAGTTGCACAGTTTACACCCAATCAGATAAAATGGAAAATCTATTCTACTAAGCTATTTTTCCAGTTCTGCTGGTTTGGCCTGAAATGTGCTATTCCTTGGTCAAATTACCACTTTACTTAATAACCCCATATGAGTCTTAATTTAAAAAAAAAAAACAGGATCTCCATTAACAGGTATACACATGATTGAGAACTAATCTAAGGGCTGGCTGAGCATCATGGGAAGTGTAGTCCACAACATCTGGAGTACCACAGCTGGTCTTTGTTCTGATATCTAACCCATTCAGAGCCAGTGCAAGAGGTCCATTTCCTGCCATGGAGTGGGTTACACATTTCTGATGTTTAATAAGCAGGAACTCTTGCACACCCATCTGGCTCCAAACAACAATTTTTTTTACTCAACCACGACCTCTATCGCAATATTTCTCCAAGCTCCATAAAGACCCATCATTGTCATTGGGCTGTACACAGCTGTATATCAACAGACTTCCATGTATCCAATATGCTATGAAATGGCCCTGGGTCTTACCGGGGATCTCCTGCAGACTGTATTTTAGGCACATTCTCCCTCTTCTCTTCTAAGTGATCCAGCACTGGAGCAAACCTTGGCCTTTATGAGCTGGGTTCTTTGGAGAGGGGCCAATCAGAATCCACGATCAGCTGCCTAATTATGTATGTGCAGCGTAGGGACAATAAAATCGAGCTGTTGTCACAGCAGCCGGTGTCAGGCAGATGAAGGTGGAGATGGCCTCTTTGTATCTAGAAAAGAAACAATTGTGTTTGCAGTGACAACAGCAGGCCACATGAAGGGCATTAGTTGCTTGACACAATGAGTAGGTAATCTATTGGATTCGCCCTCCTGAGCATGCTCCCAGCCTCCCACAGCAGCTTCCTGCAGGCCCAGCAAGGAGAGCTAACAAATACAGTATGATCATCCATGCATATGGTTCCACGGGGAGGGTGGAGGAATTAAAATCAGAGGAGACCCTATATCCATCCTCATGCACGATAGAATGAAAAAAGGAAGCTGGTGCTGATTTAGAAACAAAGATGTGATGCACGTTGTGGAGCTGGAACCCAATAGCAGTCAAACAGAACCCCCTTGTCAAGTATCACTAACCAAGGAAGGCCTGGAGATGGGTTTGGGGTCCAGGAAAGCCTGCAGTAGCAGGGGGGCATTATGAACAAAACAAGAACATAGGAAATCACAGAATGTCTGAGCTGTGAGGGGAGCAGGAAGAAGCCAGATTCAGTACAAAACCAAAGGTCAGGGCAGGAAACTGGGAGTTCAATAGAGCAGGAGGGAAGTCTGGAAATGGGGACTGGAATCGAGCATGACAGCAAGGAGGGCAGGAGGAGACCACAAGTTAATAAGACAGGGAGCCACGGAATTACTGAGTACTGGGTCGAGGATTCTCTGGGCTTTTAAAGAGACAGCCCTGAGGGCACATGCATGACGCAAGGCCGATCTCCAATGGCTAGGCCACACGGGTATAGCCACTTCAGGTCAATCGTGGCTTAGGGGTGCACTGGCATTATTTCCCTGTCCCCCATGTGGAGTGTGTGTGCACTGATGGGCCTGCGGCAACTTTAAGATTGTGCGTCCTTAAAGACACAACTTCCTGGCCGCTTGACATAAATGATGCGGGTCCCGAGTTTTGCATTCAGAAGTGATGCAATTGTCGCTGTGGTGTTGCCATGTGGCATCAACACAGCCATCAGGCGATGGAACGCCATGAGGGCGCTGAGATGCCAGTGATAGTGTTCCTCGACATGGCCCTGAGGCCATGACAGTGACCCACAGAATGCCAAAGAAGGACAATAGCCCCTTCTTTGCCCTCACAAAATTCTCAGGTACTAACTATTGAGAATTCCTGGATATTAAAGAATGAGAGCTATTTCTTAGGTCTGTCTTTCACCATAAATGCTGTATAGCAGAGCAATAAATTGACCATAATCCATACATATTTTATACCTGTTTCAGTTAGTGGAGGGCCCATTAAAAAGAACCTGGGAATTCAGAACCATTTGGCATATAAAATCTACTTTCATTGATTAGAATTACTACACAGGACAGCGGTAAATCCATTTTGAACATTCTTTTCCTTTATATGACCACCTCTGCTGGAAGGTGATTCCATTATTCTACTACCTTGTTAGTAAAAAATTATGTTACTATTACTTCTAAATTTCATGCTTCCTCTTACTAGCTTCAGCAATGGCATCTGCGGATCATGCTACCATCTTGGAATAATTTACCAGCGGAACTGCATTTTAGTAAGAAATTAAAATGGTGGTTAAACTGAAATAATTTAAGTTGTGGTGTTTTATGAGAAAAGGTCGAGTTTAACGCAGACAGCAAAACATATTCAGATTGGATTCATTAATATGGTTTGAATAAGATATCAACAAAAGAATCAGAATCTATGAAACAAGGTGGCTTGCTCGGGAATTGTGTCAGATTCAATATATATTACGTTAGGGGATTGTCTACACACATACAGCATTCTGCATCTTTGTGGGGCATTTCTGTCATTTTTTTCATAGAAAGGGTTAAAACGACTGCTTAGAACATCGAGTATCTCACCTTGCTGCAAGAACACGGGTCACCAAGTCTGTGCGAGTTTCAATAATCAACAAGGTCCTGCAATGCTGTGTTTGTTGCACAAACAGAGTGTTATGTACAGGGAAAAGGTTGTGTCTTGCATGCCCTACTGGGGCCTGTGTCTGATGGGACCTGGAGGTGCTTGACTGTTGCTTCATTAATTTTTCTAAAGTAAACTCACAGATAATGAAGGGAGGGTCACATTATGTCACTGATCCCCCCTCGGATAAAGCATGAAATCAGGTGAAAATGAAGCAGAAATCTGTCCACTATTAAACGGAAACACAAACAGAAAGTTTATTTAACCATCCACTATGTACTGAATAAGTTAAACATGATAGCCGTTGCTCATTCACTAAATTAACTGTGATATGAGGTCACTCACCAGCTGGTGACATCATGCACTCTAACCAGTGACATTACAGGTAGCAGGAAAAGACAAGACAAAATGCAGGCATGACCAGTGATGACATCATACTATCATCACAGCACCATTAATGGCAGAAAGGAACGTAAAACATATCCTGGCATGTTTCCTCCTGAAGGTTAGTCTACCATGGGCCATGCCCCACCCTGGGGACCATCTATCCCATGGTCTCTGTTTCCTCTTGCTGATTACACTAAACCATGGTCCATGCCTTTATTCTCTAGCTCATTGATCCCTGTCCTTAGCCTCCTTCTCTACCTCTTGCATCCGTGTCCTTAGCCTCCTTCTCTGTCTCTTGGATCCCTTTCCTTAGCCTCCTTCTCTGTCTCTTGGATCCCTTTCCTTAGCCTCCTTCTCTGTCTCTTGGATCCCTTTCCTTAGCCTCCTTCTCTGTCTCTTGGATCCCTTTCCTTAGCCTCCTTCTCTGTCTCTTGGATCCCTTTCCTTAGCCTCCTTCTAGCCTCCTTCTCTATCTCATGGATCCCTGTCCCTAGCCTCCTTCTCTATCTGGATCCCTGTCCCTAGCCTCCTTCTCTATCTCATGGATCCGTGTCCTTAGCCTCCTTCTCTATCTCTTGGATCCCTGTCCTTAGCCTCCTTCTCTGTCTCTTGGATCCCTTTCCTTAGCCTCCTTCTCTATCTCATGGATCCCTGTCCCTAGCCTCATTCTCTATCTCATGGATCCCTGTCCCTAGCCCCCTTCTCTATCTCATGGATCCCTGTCCCTAGCCTCCTTCTCTTTCTCATGGATCCCTGCTCTCCTTCTCTGCCCCTGGCCCCTCCCTGGACGTTTGTCACAGACTACTGGAGGAGCCTGTTAGCTAGGCTCTTGCCAAGGACTATGGGCCACATACAAAGACCCTGTTCGAGAGTTAAATCTCCCCAGCCTCCATTACCAGCTTTCCCTGGTTCGGCATTTTCCCTTCATTCAAATGGAGTCGAACAATAGCTCCCTGGCGGCCGTTTGCATGAAGACACCCACGAATTGTCCTCAGCGATACTTAGCCGCGATCGTTATGGAACTAAATTCGGCATGAGGACTTCATAGGTTCCCGGTCACCACAGCGGGACTTAGCCGCGAATGTTATGGAACTGTTTTCGGCATGAGGTGACCGTGCGGCTCCCAGACAACTTGGTCTGGGGTTTTGAATGACTTTGAAATCTGCCAGGAGAGCGCTTTTTGGAGTGAAGGTGCCTGAGTGTAAGGGGAATAAACGCTACCTAAGAGCCAGACAGAGCACCCCGTTTTGCGGCCACAGGAGCTCCCGAACGCTGACCGGCAAAAGCACCAAACGCCCTGGAACTGTTTTGGGCATAGGACAATGTGTGTGGCTGGTCAGAACTTTAACACAGTGGCGTTTCCCTACACTACATGGATCTGATCGCTATATAGAGAATTTGGGTACTCAGATCAGGGCTATCTAACAATATAATGTTTGTGGAGGTTCCTCTATTTCTTGTGTTTTTATGTATTTTTAATATTTTATGTATTTATGCACAGTCATGCTGACTAAGGCTGTTCTGGGCGTGTTTGACTGTATCCCTGATGTGGCGATCTGGCCAGAATAAATCATTCTTCTTATACCCTTCATCAAGTCTAGGCTGATGTTGGGGTAGCTCAGAGCTTTAATCACTACTTCACTTGGGATTTGGGAGAACTACAGCAGATATACTCAGTCGGAGTATAGGGGATCCGTTACACCTCCTTCTTAGTTTCATGGATCCCTGTCTCTAGCAAAGTTTATCTCATGAATCCCTGTCCTTCTTCTCTGTCTCACATATCCCTGCCCTGAGCCTCCTTCTCTATCTCATGAATCACGGTCCCTAGTCTCCTTCTCTATCTCGTGGATCCCTACACTCCTTCTCTATCTGACAGATGCCTGCCCCTGGCCTCCTCTCTTTCATAGATCCCTGTCCCTGACCTCCCTCTCTGCCTCATTGATCCTTGCTCCTGGCCTCCATCTAAGGCTCATGGATCCCTTTCTCTAGCCGAGTTTATTTCATCAATCCCTGTCCTTTTTCTCTATCTCATGATTCCCTGTCCCTGGCTTACTTCACTACTTCATGGATCCCGGTCCCTGGCCTCCTTCTCGGTTTCATGGATGCCCGTCCTCCTTATCTCATGGATCACTTTCTCAACCCTCGTCTGTCTCAATGATTCCTGTCCTCTTCACTCATGGATCCCTCTCCCTGGCCTTCTTCTCCATTTCATGGGTCTCCGCCCCTGGCCTCCTTCTGTTTCATGGATCCCTATCTCTGTCTCACAGATCCATTTCCCCGGCCTCCTTTTTTTTTTTATCTCCCTGATATCTGTCCCTGGCCTCATTCACTAGCTCACTGATCCCTATCCCTGGCCTTCTAGCCTCCTTTTCCATCTCATCGTTCTCTGTCTCATGGATCCCAATCCCTGTCCTACTACTCTGTCTCATGGTTCAATGTCCCTGGCCTCCTTCTTAATGTCATGGACCCCTTTCCAAGGGCCCTTTGCCTGTCTCATGAATCCCTATTGCTGGCCTCCAGATTCCAAAAGA